ACAGCTGGCTTTCATGCTAAGGCAGGACTAGAACTCACAGTCTCCCAGTTTTTAGCTTGGTGCCTTAACCACTAGACCAGGGCTAGGCAACCTGGGCTCTTTTATGACTCGTGGACTTCAACTCCCAGAATTTCTGAGCCATAAAAGAGCCCAGGTTGCCTACCCCTGTTATGTCTAGTGCAGTTATGTCTAGTGCAGGTTGCCTACCCCTGCACTAGACATAACTGGCTCTGTTTATGAAGGAAAGTTTATTGGATACAGTAATGCTTATTTCTAAATAAACATTGTTGTGAAGTAGTCAACATTTCCAGTCATGATTTACATCTCTTGCTAATTGTCATTATCCTGACAAATTGCAGATATGCTTAAAAAAAGAACTGAATCACATCTGATAGCCAGGTTTAACTCTATTATACTGTCATTTTCTCAATTGAAGGTTCTGGATGATAGTTCATGCATCTCTCAGATAAATACCACATAAATCAGCTTAGATATCTACTTCTATCAGTACATTGGAAGGCAGGTTTGCACAATTTGTGGCCAGCAAGTATAATATAATTTATTAGCTGCATATAGAATGCCATACTTCAGCAGTTATATTATCTAAAACAGATGCATTTTTCATTAACTCTCTTTTGGTCACACAATATTTGTGGTGTGGCTATTCTTGCATTAAGTCTAACTCTGCAGAGGTGAACATAATGTTCCTGGGTAGTTGAAACATATCAATTAGTTTAGCATTCTAAGAGACTGAGCAGTTACAATACATAATAAATTAACTTATATAAATAAATGCATTGTAAATTAAAGTATTCTACTTTATTCCACTGACATATCTTGTACAATAGGAAGTACTATAGATATTATTTAGTGTGTTTGATGTATATCAGATTGATTTATTTACCATGATATTTCCTCCATAAACAACAATATAAAACAAATAATTAAATTCTCCATAGCAGCTCTGTAGAGTAAATATATAAAAAAGTCCCATATGAGTGAGATTTTTACTTCTGTGGACATGGGGGCTATTGTAACCCCAGTTCGTGTCGTCTTATATTATTCCCTCTATCAGGGTTCACAAATTCATTCTATGACTCCTTACCTGATAAAATGTCCAGGAAATTTTTTATCTCTTGTAACTGTGGTGTGTTGGATCCTGGTGTATTAGCATGTGTATGTATATTGTTCCTGGTGTATGATATTGTAGATAGTATGATATAAATCGTTATTTAATATAGACCACTGTTTACTGTGTTTACTCCTGGCTTATCTCAGCGCAATAAGACTGTGCACGCTCTGACAATTTTGGTCACCCATCAATGACTTCACCAATAACTGTCATATAACATTATGTCTTGTTTTGCTTTTTTCTCAGTTTTATTTTAATGTTTAAAATTTTAACTCTGATGTGTGATTGCAATAAAAGATAGAGCCAGGAAAACTAAATTAAATTATCAAAAAAAAATAAGTATAAAGTTAATTGCTCTGTAGCATGGGAATAGTTTTATGTTTTCTTTATGGCCATTTTTTTAAAAAAAAAATTGTCATGACTGAATAATATTTTGTAATCTTTTTAGTTTTTTTTTTTCTTCTAGATTTCCAAATATTTCTCTGCTAGGCTTAAAAATAAGAAGGGATGGGTTCATTCTTAGTGCCAGGTTTGGTACCATGGACAGCTCCCAACGACAGTCATCGCTGATTCTATTACAGCGTCTGCACCAGGCTGATCTCTTGTTGGATGGGAAGGTCTTTTGCCTCCCTTCATTAACTGTTGTTGGTAGAACATCAAGATTACCCAGATTACTGTAAATATCCATCTGTGGTGAATAGTGAATATGTTATAGTACCACTTGGGAAAAGAAAAAGGTCGGTTTCTAAGGCTGATGTAACAGCACAAGGGAAATTCTGTTCCTGTCCTTCTTTCTGCCCATGTAAATCCAGGACAAGTTACTTCACTTTTTGTAAATACCTTCAGACCTTGAGCTTATCAAAATATCAGCCAAGAACGTACCAGGGACTAAATCATTTTTCCTTAGAGAAATCAATTTTGTCAAGGAAGATTAAGCCAATTACAGATCTGCAACCTTAACCATGCATTATTTCTGAACTTATTTTATTTTTGTAAGTTAATAGATGCTGTGGCTACAATTCTCTCCTGTAAATATCTTAACACCATCCTACAATCTTCCTGGCCTCTAACCAGATCTTGATTTGAAAAAGCCCCATTAGTGTGCCTCGAGATAGCTTCCTTTAGCTTTGACTAAAAAGCAGGAATCAAATATACTCTCCACTATGAAGAGATATTGACAAGTTTGGAAGCATTCCCAAACTCCTTGTAACTAAAACAACCACAAAAACCCAAATATCACCTAGGACAACAGCAATAAAGTATTTGAATTTTGAAAGAAATTCATTTTTAAATAAAATTGAAGGAGAATGAAAATTGTTCAGCAGTGTTAATGACATATGATATGCCACACATGCCTCAGCATTTACAATATGAAATTGATGGCAGTATATATATATATATATATATATATATATATATATATATATATATATATATATATATATATATATGTCTTTGGTTGTTCGGGTTTTCTCCTGCGTAAAATTGGAAGTGTCTTGGCGACGTTTCGACGAAGTCCCATCGAAGCCGAAAACCAGCTGATGATGAATGGGACTTCGTCGAAACGTCGCCAAGACACTTCCAATTTTACGCGGGAGAAAACCCGAATAACCAAAGACCTACATACAAACACACCCGCAAAAACCTCAGTATGTGTGTGTGTATATATATATATATATATAATATATATATATATATATATATATATATATATATATATATATATATATATTCTGAGGTTTTCGCGGGTATTTGTATGTAGGTCTTTGGTTGTTCGGGTTTTCTCCCACGTAAAATTGGAAGTGTCTTGGCGACGTTTCGACGAAGTCCCATTCGTCATCTTCAGGCTGGTGCTTTCAGCTTCGTGCCTCGAGCAGCAATGTGTGGTCTTAGCTGTTTCTTCCTTTTAACTGCCAGTGGGGGTATGAACTGATTGGGTGGGAGCTTGGCTGTGTTCTGATTGGGTGGAGGTGTGTTCTGATTGGTTAGGGGCTGGCTGTGCTCTGATTGGCTGGGGGGTTGGCTGTGCTCTGATTGGCTGGGGGGTTGGCTGTGCTCTGATTGGCTGGGGGAGTGTTCTGTTTGGTTGTGCTCAGGTTAGTCTGAGTTGCAGAGGGATTCAAGATTTTGGGCTGCCCTGCCATTCCTTGGCTTCGCGTTCGTGGTCGTGCTTCCTCTTCATGGAGGGTGTCAGTTTGCTTCATGTATGGATTGGGGGGGTTTAAAGTGGCTAATGATGCAGCTGTGGTCTGGCTTCTGGTTTGTGGTCGTGCCTCATAGTCAGTGTGGCTTTGGGTTTGTTTTTTGCGTGGATGTTTGGTGGTGACCTCCTGTGTGGTTTTTGTGAGTGTGGGTCTGGTATCATTTTTTGTGTTAGGGAGTCGTTTGTCAATGAGGGCGGGTTTCCAAATGGCTGGTAGGCGGGAGGTATCATCTCGCTTGTTCATGCTGTGTGGGCCATCGAGATAGAAAAACGCCCACACAGCATGAACAAGCGAGATGATACCTCCCGCCTACCAGCCATTTGGAAACCCGCCCTCATTGACAAACGACTCCCTAACACAAAAAATGATACCAGACCCACACTCACAAAAACCACACAGGAGGTCACCACCAAACATCCACGCAAAAAACAAACCCAAAGCCACACTGACTATGAGGCACGACCACAAACCAGAAGCCAGACCACAGCTGCATCATTAGCCACTTTAAACCCCCCCAATCCATACATGAAGCAAACTGACACCCTCCATGAAGAAGAAGCACGACCACGAACGCGAAGCCAAGGAATGGCAGGGCAGCCCAAAATCTTGAATCCCTCTGCAACTCAGACTAACCTGAGCACAACCAAACAGAACACTCCCCCAGCCAATCAGAGCACAGCCAACCCCCCAGCCAATCAGAGCACAGCCAACCCCCCAGCCAATCAGAGCACAGCCACGCCCCTAACCAATCAGAACACACCTCCACCCAATCAGAACACAGCCAAGCTCCCACCCAATCAGTTCATACCCCCACTGGCAGTTAAAAGGAAGAAACAGCTAAGACCACACATTGCTGCTCGAGGCACGAAGCTGAAAGCACCAGCCTGAAGATGACGAATGGGACTTCGTCGAAACGTCGCCAAGACACTTCCAACTTTACGTGGGAGAAAACCCGAACAACCAAAGACCTACATATATATATATATATATATATATTGTCAAAATAATGATCACCAAGAGAATATCTATCAAAAATAGAATTTAATCCACCAAGCTTTCGTCAAATACATTTGACATCGTCAGGGTTAAAAGGCAAACGCCGGGGGAAGTCTTATATACAGTTGTTTAATGCCTGTTTCCGGATCCTGGAGCGTGTCATCGGCCCCAGCTGATCGAGTTGAGTCCCAAGCACACGCCCCACATTAGCACCTATCCTCTTTCCATTGCTAATTTGCATTCTGTCATACGTTACTCCATTAGTTGTTTCAGGATTTGACGAAAGCTTGGTGGATTAAATTCTATTTTTGATAGATATTCTCTTGGTGATCATTATTTTGACAATATGAATACTCCCAAGAGTCGCATTTTTGTTTTTATTTCTAATCATATACACACACACACACGTACGTATATATGTTTGCATGTGTATACTCACATGAACAATGGGTGGCTATATAAATTGGATGTACAATCAGGACCAGATACTTTCTATGAAGTGATCCGTCAGCAGATTAAATGCTTCGATGTCCAACATATCTTCAAGACTGGATACTGGACACGGGATACTGACCTTTCCAGAATACAGATCAGAAAACAATCAGGGTAATCTAAGAGAAGACTAAGGGTTTTTTTCATGCTTAACAATGCTATGCTGTTTATTTCAGATTATACTCAGTTGGTGGCCGAGACGGAAGTTCTTGCTTGAGTTCTATGGAGTATTATGATCCTCACACCAATAAATGGAACATGTGTGCTCCAATGTGCAAAAGAAGAGGAGGAGTTGGAGTGGCCACCTGTGATGGTTTTCTTTATGCTGTTGGAGGCCATGATGCCCCTGCCTCTAACCATTGCTCCAGACTCTTGGATTATGTTGAGAGGTATCCATCTTTTATGAGTTTATCTTCAATGGGTCTGAAGGCAAACACAGCCATTGACTTGAAATGCTCTTAGTACAGCAAAAAAAATCCTTGATTTTGGAGATATAGAAACATATTTTGAATTTATTTAGGGAGTTCAAGATTAAAAGATAGAAGTTGTGTTTCTTCTCTCCTTCTCTCTCCTTGGCTCATTTTTTTTCTCTGTTTTTGTTGCCTTATATTCTGAATTCAAAAAATGTTGCAATATTCCAGTCTCCCTTGAACTGAATTCTTGATTACATCATCGGTACGTGCTGGGGCAGGGACAACAAAGTAGCTTGCATTGTCTTCATTTGGGATATTTTTCTGACTTTCCAGTCAATCATTGAAATTACCACCCTACCAAGTATTAAATACATTCAACCTTGAATAGTTTTTCCATGACTCCACATAGGTCCTTTGGAAAAAAGTTACTATTATCTTCAAATCCGAGGAAAGATCATGGATTCAAGATAATTGTGGGCCAGTGGATGATGGAGTTGTGTGGATAAATGTGTTTTATTTTACAATCATACCTAGCAAGTGCCAGCTTTATTTTACAGGCTTTGGGGCCATAAACCTCAGTATAGTATTCGTTGCAGAATTATCTTTTTTGTGCTCAAAGAATCTGGATGAATGCCCATCATAACACAGAAAACAAAACACAGCCATAATGAATAGAAATTGCATTTCGTTTTTCTTTATTATTTTTTTCTAAAGGAGTAGCAGGGGAGTAATCGAATACTTAAAACTACCCCAGACAGACCTAGAAAGAAATGAGCACGAAGACTGAAAAGCTGCCTTCATTTTACAGCTTTATTTCTTCAGCTAAAAAAAAATATGGTTGCATGCTTAATCTTCGTAATAACTTGATGTGCCCCAAGGTGAAACAGGAGATACCATAAAGTTTCTGCATACAAAAAGAAATCAATTTGCAAATACTGAACTGAATGTAAGAAGAACAGCTCTTCAGTGTTCCATTTCTTAAAGCCTTTAACCTCAGCCAGGGTGAGATTAATTGCTGTAAAGTGTAAGAAAATATGCACTTTGAATTGAAATATATGGACAGCTTTGTAACAACGCTACTGATAACACTGTTCAATATTCTCTTAAGGTACAATACAGTTTAAAATGAAGGGATGTTTTACTTAGCTTTACATGAAAAAATTAAATCCAACCCCAATTGTTTATTTTTTTAAAGATATTTTACCTAATGGAAAACTGAAATAGTTACAATATGATTATTGCCTTATATTCTAATCATATTGTTCAGAATAGACCAAGAAATCAACCAAGCAGTCAATGGAGACACATGTATCTTAACATTTATGCCTTCCATCTCTACAAAATAAATGCTAGAAATACAGCCTATGTTTGTACTTCACAATGCAAGGTATTTTTGAATACTTAAAGCATATTCCACCTCAGTCTAACAATAAAATAACCATATTATTAAGCACCTGAATGAATAAAAAGAATTCTCTGGAGGCAATAACAGTATTTTAGTGAAGAAAATACTTAGACCATGATGTTTACCTTCTATTGCTAAATAGACGGATTTTGGAAATATGTCCTCAAGAAATCTATTGGATCTCTAGGACAGAAAGACGTATGATGCTAAAAGTCATCTTGATTCCTAAATATGTTCTCATCAAGTATACTTTGTCTTTTGTTGCACAGGTATGACCCCAAAACTGATACCTGGACAATGGTGGCCCCACTGAGTATGCCTCGTGATGCTGTTGGCGTCTGCATCTTGGGTGATAAATTATATGCCGTGGGTGGCTATGATGGACAGACGTACTTAAACACAATGGAGTCGTATGATCCACAGACCAATGAATGGACACAGGTATCCATTATTGTGTGCTTTGCATCAGGTGATAGGGGGCTTGGAAAAATTGGTAGAGTTGAGGTTTCACAGGACTGCAGTTATAGCAGGGGTTTTCAAACTTGGCAACTTTCAGACTTGTGGACTTCAACTCCCAGAATTCCTCAGCCAGCCAGGGCTGTCTGAGGAATTCTGGGAGTTGAAGTCCACAAGTCTGAAAGTTGCCAAGTTTGAAAACCCCTGATTTATAGCAATAATAAATTCTACAACTCTCTCTCTCTCAAGGATACAATAACTGTCAAAGACCTTATGTAAGAAAAGTCCATATTTTTTTCCCTAGAGGATCAAGAAAACATTTTAAGAAATGATGGGTTAGGATCTTTCCAGCCACTGAACACTGCTATTATTATTACATCTTTCGTTGGAATATTTGTGTTGTGTTTTTTTTTTTAGTTTGAATTTAATTTTTGTCAGGTACAACGTCTTTCCTCATCTCTCTTATTTAGAACTGCAGCTCTTGTCTAGTTTTATAGTAAAACAGTTGATAAAGCTCTATTTTCCACTGTGTAGCTTGTTCCTACACCAACATGCTGTATCAGAGCTCCTTCTTAATGTTGTATGCATGCTGTGGCTCTCTTCTAATATAATGCAACCTTCTTCATCATACTCATAATTAACATGTAGGATTGTAGATGGACAGGTATGACCACATGATCTGAAATGAAATAGTATCTCTGTTCTTTTTAAGAAGATTACTAAACAAGGCTTTGGCTCCTTAGGTCTGTATAATTAAAATAAAAAAAAATAACATTAATAAGTATAGAACTGTAATAGATTGTAAGGAGCACTCATTTTAAATGCTTTGTCACTATATTTAGGTTATAGTATTTCTATCTGCATCTTAATTGTAAATACACAGTTGTGTACTATACACATAGTTGTGTATTATAATACTACTTTGTAGACATCAGAAAAGATGGGAGGGAAATCAAATGGAAGGAAGGGAGGGAGGGAGGGAGGGAGGGAGGGAGGGGAAGGGAAGGAAAGGGAAGGAAAGGAAAGGAAAGGGAAGGGAAGAGGAGGGGAGGGAGGGAGGGAGAGAGGGAGGGAGGGAAGAAGAAAGGAAGGGAGAGAAGAGGAAATGGGAGGGAAGGGAAGGAAAGGAAAGGAAACGAAAGAGGGAGGGAGAGAGGCAGGAAAAAAGGAAGGAAGGGAGAGGAGAGGAGAGGAGAGGAGAGGAGAGGGGAGGGGAGGAGAGAAAAGAGAAGGGATGGGGAGTGAGGCAGTGAGGGTGGAAAGAAGGAAGGAAGGAAGGAAGGAAGGAAGGAAGGAAGGAAGGAAGGAAGGAAGGAAGGAAGGAAGGAAGGAAGGAAGGAAGGAAGGAAGGAAGGAAGGAAGGTAGGTTTAAATAGTTTGCCATGACTTAATATCCATGTGGAAATTCTGGATATCATGAATTTTGACTACTGCTTATGAATTTTGCTAATATTTTATCAACTTTACCAAGTTGATGAATCATGAGTTGTCAATTCAAACTCCTCAGACGTACATACAGGGCCACAAACTGTTAGCATTTCATCTTCACTTTGGAACTTAAACTTAATATTTTATTTCTTCTCTGCAGATGGCATCTCTAAATATTGGAAGAGCTGGGGCCTGCGTTGTAGTCATAAAGCAAGCATGACACGCTCTGTAATGGATTTTTATTGACTTCTAAGCAGGATTTTTCTGCCAAACAAGAAAGAAAATTTTGTCAAGCAACAAGGTCAACAGATACCCTCAGCCTTCTGTTGATCACAACTCACGAACATTAAAATGAAGAGAAGGAGAGAAGGATTCTTTCCTATCAGTAGATACTACTTTAGGGTTTAACAAAGGGTGGAAAAAATCTGTTTTAGCAGCCAATCTGTGTATGTGAAAAGGGAAGAAATTCAGTTACTGACCTATTGGCTATTTAAAAGAAGCAAAGCAAAAGACCAAATTTTCTTACGGAATGGATGGTTGTCATAGCACTAGATATTTTAACTCCATCACAGCACACTGTCACTTTGTAAAACATAGCTTTTTCTTAAAACAAACAAAAAAAGCTTGTATTTTATTTATTTGCATTCTTTTTCGCTTAAGGCCTTATCTTCAAACATTTTAGCACTTTGTTACTGACACAGACAATAATGAGACGGGACAAAATTCTAGTTTATTTCCTCCTGAAATAAAGAACAAAGGCACAGGTCTCTTTCGTTACTGAACGATTCGACATTAAAACATGATTGTTTTTCCTAATCAATGACTGGTCCTTCCATTAAAGTAAGAGATGGCTTGGATGGAATGGTGTTTCTGAGCAAACCTTCGGACAATTGGGGTTCAAGGCCATAAAGGAGAGCCAAAGGAATACATCCCCAAATTTACCCTACTCAAGCATGTGAAGCCTTCTTTCGTTCAAAGCTTTTGAACTTCTCCTGCATGTGAGATGTATGTAGAAGATGGGAAATGGCAGTTTCTTCACCATGGCATCATCTAAGAGACACCATTGAGCATTTGCAAGGAAGAGACACATTGGGACCTAGGCATGCAGCAAGAGAGATAACGGTGGTTCTAATGTCTTTCGTGTTTTCAGAAGCCACATTTGCTATGATGTAGTTCAATTTAACTTGAATTAATCTCTGTTTGCTGCTGCAGAAGACTGATCCTAAGGGCTAACCCAACTGTTGAATGGGACAACTAGCCCTCTTGCTTTAAAAAAAAAACCAAAAAACAGAATGTCACTCAGAGGGATTGGCTTGTTTATTTGGAGAAAGAATGTCTAGGCACGTGGTTAAGATAATTCACTTCCAAATTGCTTTCTCAATGGCAAAACGTGGACAGATTGCAGGCAAAAAAAAGACTCAAAGTGGCAAGAATTAGCACGTGAGAAAGATTTTTAGAAGCCCATCTCTCTTCCGATTGAGTTGATAGCTTTTTTTTATATCTGATCTTTAATTTAATAATAATAAAAACTTTGGGGAGCTATTGCGCAAGGCTGCTGTATAATATCTGTTTTGGCTTTAAGGAATGAAACATTCATATACAAGAGGAGGGAAGCCCAGATGTTTTGCCATGAGGATGTGTCCTGCCAGCAGAGCATCTGCTTTGCATGTATGATAAAAAGATGTCAATGAGTTATGTTGCCTTTGTAAAATTTCTGCTTTGTATACGAATGAGATGCAGAAATCATCTTTGTTAATGGGTGTTAACTCTTGGCTGCATTATATCCTAAGCATGGTTGAACTTTCTTATTAAGGTACCAGAATGAGGTGGATTTCCACTGCTGCTCGGGGGGAGAATCTGATTTCAAGGGTGTTTTCAATTGGAGCAGGAATAAAATTTTGGCGGATGTGAAGTCCTTTTTTGGCTTGTCTTTCCCCATCCAGACTAATTTGCTAATTAAATAAAACATTGGTGTCCAAATGACTTGGATCTTTCAGCCTTTTCATTTTGCCCTCAGTTATAATTGGTAGCTTGATATGAATTCTGCGATCTATTCATAATCTGAGTGCCATAAATTAATGCGAAGCAAGTGGGAAATAAATTTGCATTTTAGGGCTCAGGGAAGTGGGCTGTGGATTGGCTCTTTGTTTCAGAACAACAACAAAAAACACACTTTAGTCTTTTTAAGGAGAACATAAGCTTGCATGATAAGACCGTCAATCTGATTCCACGCATGATTCCATGTGTAGAGTCATCACCGGTGATTTAATTCAATAACTTTCAGTTCCTACCCACAAGTCATTGGTCTTCATTTTATAGGCTTGAATAGAACAAATTTATCATTCCTACATTAGGCCTCAAGGGTTGTGCTAAGAAACCAAGATTAGAAAAGGCCAAGATTAAATTAGACTTTAAAAAAATATTTTAAAATGACATGAATTACCATTTTCCCTTAGCTTGAATTTTGGGCCTAATATAAACCCTATCCCAAAAATAAACCCTAATTTTGGGGTGAGGCACACACCTAAAAATCAAGCTAGGGCAGGGATGGGAGGGTTGGAGCTGCTCCACCTGCCCCACCCACCCCGCACCCACCCGCCTAGCTGGCCCACTTCTTCTGAGGCCTCTTCTGCAGCCAGGCCTGCATTTCTCAGTCACAGGGCTTTCCAGAAGGCCTGTGCAGCCAAGAACCCAGCTATGGATTCAATCCGTAGCTTGGTTCTGCGAGACCTCAGCAGCCAAGCACCAAACTTTCTTGCTGTTTGGGATAAATGGATAAAATTCATACAATTTAAATTTGATATAAAAAAATACTATATAGTTTTTTCATAATTTTTAACTTTATATATATATATATTTTCTATTTTATATTCTTTTTTTATAAATATAAATTTTTTTAACTTTTTTTTAATTAAGCCTATATTCTGCTCTGGGAGGCCCTGGGGGGGGAAGGGGGGGTTTGGGTAGGGGTGGGGGAAGGGGGGTTTTGTTGGGTAATGTTTGTTTTTTATTTGTATATGTTGTTTTTTGTTTTTGTATTGTCTTTTATTTTCTGTAAAATTTATAAAACTCTTTAATAATAATAAAAAAAAAGCACCAACTCGGCTGCTTAGACCTTCTGGAATGGCCTGACTGCAAAATGCAGGCCCGAATGCAGCTGCAGAACTTTGGCCCCAGAAGAAGTGGACCGGCTGGGGGGAGCTGTCAGTGCCAGAGGTGAGATAAAGCCTACTCTGAAAATAAGACCTGTTACCTCTTTTGGAGGCAAAAAAAATAAGACCCAGTCTTATTTTTGGGGAAATGCTGTATATTCATTATCTGCATTAAAAGAAGTCAAATAATCCCACAGTATTTTCCCATGTGGCAATGGCATAATTCTTGTTGCAGGGTCCAACCTGGATCAGTCAATGGGACCAGAGGTATTGTCTTCCGAGCTTTTGGACTCCTACTGAAGCTCATCTTCAGGGAATTTCTCTCCAGGCAGAAAACTAGAGAGAAATTCCCTGAAGATGGACTCCAACAGGAGTCCAAAAGCTTGGAAAACAAAACCTCTGATCCCATTGACTGATCCAGATTGGATCCTGCAACATTATCCTGGGACACATATATTTGCCTTCATTCATAATTATTGTTCCACTTTTGAATGCCAGTTCACATCAAAGACTCAAGCCAAGTATCAGGGAGAAAAATCAACATACCAAAAAGCAACTATTGAACCTTCCTCCTGTCTCTGTAGCAGAAAATGGCAATACAGAACTCTGAGCTGGAATACAAAGAAAATTGCTCTTTTGCTACTGTTGAAAGAAAAATCTTCATCAGGGTCCAGTCCAAGCTGGGAATAAAGAAAATGGAGACTGCTTTAGAAACAAGGTGTAGTTTATTGAAGAGTAGAGCCAGAAAGAAGCATGACTCTGGGAAAGCTGACCACCTGTTGCTTGGAGTGGTGGGTTTTTATATCTTCTAGGGCTCTTGAGGTTGTTTCCTGTTCCTGTGGCATGAACTTTGACCTAAGGTTCAGTGTGTCCTTCTTGGTATTGATGGCTTAATCCTATTATGTTTCCTGTTCTTAGAGTTTGGGTGGGGATATGTAGATTTTAGGAGTCTTTGTCTTTCTAATCTCATCAGCTTCTAGCTTCCTGGCTCCAACCTTTCTGAAAGGATTATCACATCTGCACGTCTAAAAGCTGGCCTCTGCCTAGTTTCTGCTTGGGGGAGGCGGGCTGGGGCTGGTTTCTGTCTTTTTTAAAGATCTTCTCCATTATTCCTTTGGGGAAATATATTCTGCCTTTTTGATATTCCCCCAAATATTTCTTTCTATGGATTCTTCCCACACTACCTTGCCAAGCTGGACCAGTTGAAGCCCAGCATGGTGACCTTTACTTGCTATGGTTTCCTTTGACAGCCTCTGGATCACTTCCTCTCCCTCTCTTGAGGAGCCACTAGTGAGCTGATGACTAAGTGTTTGGTTGGATCCTGGTCAACCCATATGCGTCTCTCCCAGCATGAGAATATCCAAATTCTTCTCCAGCTCCAACCTTAGAACCATTTTTGTTGGTCCTGTGAAAGAGATGGAGGGCAACTCAGTAGGGGAGCTGCTAGAAATCTCTTCCTTGTGTGACTAGCACGAGGGACAAATTGCCTAATGGTTGCATTGATGTGAAATAAAACTAAGAGGATTGATAGTTTTGTGACTGTTCTTTTTCAAGGACTGGACCCAGCACAGCATGGAAAATCTATACACAATGACTTATTATGACACTCCCCTTCTCCAACAAACAATTGCTGTAGATCAACTCCACTCTTCTAACTTTTGCAAGGTGATGTTGCCCCATACATACTTCATTACTATTTGGTCCTTTAATGCTTATTCTTTTAAGCAGTTTTATTCAGTTTTTATTAGTTCAGCTTTTATTCAGTTCAAACTAAAGTCTAGAAGTCTTTAAAGAAACGCACAACTTTTGTCTTTTTCAAATGTTCTTACACTAGTTGGTCTGAGGTGCCATTTTGGTGTAATTGTTCCTGTTTCTAGTTGCTACCAACCTCCCAGCAAATGTCTGAGCTCCAGGCTCTGCTCCTCACTGTTCCAGTCCTGCCAGGATCTTCTCCTCACTATCGCTTGTGGTCCTGAACAAATGAAAGTTCTCTTCCCTGCTTCTAATAGCTGTCAATCTCTAGATATTGCCTCCACTTCTTTATCTGTAGGCATTTGTCTTTCCTGTCACACATGTCGCTCCTCACTCTATATCAGCATTTGCTTTTGTAAGCTAAAAGCCTGGATTGGGAGAGGCTGGCCCTGAACACTGGGACGATGCCTATCCTGAAGGTCACGTTGCACACAGAGTCACAGTCATGTTGCCTTTAACACATAGGGTTTGTTGTTCACATACTGTACCATAGGCTTTGAACTTGTCCATGCTGGCTTTATATAATAATAATAATAATAATAATAATAATAATAATAATAATAATAATAATAATAATAGTAATAATAATAGTAATAATAATAATGTAAAATATAGTGAGCCTATATTTATTCTTTTATATGGAGCTCAGTCAATAGATGGTTTTGATCACTATATCTAACTTACATTGAGATGTTTACTGTAGCATCTTCAATGAGTATGATAGCTGCTTTGATTTATCCATTTTGCTAATCTTCAAGTTTTCAGTATTGACTATGTCATATACTGCCAACAGTATATGCCCTCACTCTCTTTCACCATTTTTTCTCTCTTTTGCAGTATGGCTCTTAAAACAGCACGTGAAAATGAATGTGATTCTTAAAGTAATGTGAGTTGCAAATTTCATTTCTAGACTGTGTAAGGCTGGTCCAACTTTGGTCAAGTAAGACACCTACAGCTTAGAATATTTAGAGAGAAGATACCAAGAGAAGTTATGATAGTCATGTTCATAAATTATGAACATAAAATATGTTCAAGAATTATATTACATGATCACAGAAATGGTCATCTAGTCCAATCCCCTGCTCAGGCAGGAAACCCTATACCATTTTGGACAGATGGCTGTCCAGTCTCTTCTTTAAAACTTCCAGTGTTCAAGCATTCACCACTTCTGGAGGCAGGTTGTTCCACTGGTTAATTGTTCTAACTGTCAGGAAATTTCTCCCTAGTTCTAGGTTGCTTCTCTTCTTGATTGGTTTCCATCTGTTGCTTCTTGTCCTGCCTTCAGGCACTTTGGAAAATAGCTTGACTCCCTCTTCTCTGTGGCAGCCCCTGAGATATTGGTACACTGCTATCATGTCCCTCTTCGTCTTTCTCTTCATTAAACTAGACATACCCAATTCCAGTAACCGTTCCTTATATGTTTTAGCCTCCAGTCCCCTAATCATCTTTGTTGCTCTTCTCTGTACTCTTTAAAGAGTCTCAACGTCTTTTTTACTTCACGGTGACAAAAACTGGATGCAGTATTCCAAGTGTGGCCTTACCAAGGCCTTGTAAAGTGGTATTAACACTTCACGTGATCTTGATTCTATCTCTCTGTTAATGTAGCCTAGCACTGTGTTGGCCTTTTGGGCAGCTGCAGCACACTGCTGGCTCATATTTAGGTGATTGTCTACTAGGACTCCAAGGTCCCTTTCACAGTTACTACTATTGAGCAAGGTACCCCCTATACTATACCTGTACATTTGATTTTTCTTGCCTAAATGTAGAACCTTGCTTTTTTCACCATTGAATTTCATTTTGTTAGATAGTGCCCAATGTTCAAGTCTGTCCAGATCCTACTGTATCTTAAGCCTGTCTTCTGGAGTGTTGGCTATTCTTGCCAGCTTGGTGTCGTCTGCAAATTTGATGACTTTCCCATACCTGGATTTGTTTCATCCATTTATCAGTATAACTTATGAGCAGCATGGTGGCCCAATGTTGAAAATGCTCATGTTTCACTTGGAAAGTTGAGAGTTCAATCCTAGATAGCTTCAGAGCTAACAGGGCGCAAAGAGAAAATATCTGCTGTGAACGCCGCAC